TGAAATATCAGTGGGAATAGACATAGAAGCCAGGGCCATGGTCCGGACATGGTCTCAGGGTGACTACCAAAGGCTCATGGCTGGAAGCTTGGTCCCACACTTCCCCAGAGGAGTATGGTGCTCTGGGAGCTGGCGGGGCCTTTCAGAAGTGTGGCCTAGTGGGAGGTGACGAAGTCACAGGGGACACACTCTCAGAGGGGTGAGTGCAGACCTCCTGGGGCCCAAGTGAGATATTCGGAGAAAAATTGTGTTGAAAAGAGCAAGATGGGCCCCTCCTGATCTCTGGCTTCCTTTCTCATCCTGTCTTTTCTGCTCAAGGGCTGCCTGGTTTTAGGCATTCAGCTGCCAAAGCTGTGAAATAAGTAAACCTCTTTTTTTCCTTTTTTTTTTTTTTTTGTAGTACTGGGGATTGAACCCAGGACCTCGTGCATGTTAGGTAAATGCTCTCATTGAGCTACATCCTGTCCCCCACCCCCATTTTTTAAAATGTATTTTATTTTAAGTTCTCACCTAAGTTGCCCAGGCTGGCCTCAACCTGCACTCCTCCCAACACAAGCCAGACTTCAAACCTAGGTAGGATTACAAGTGTGTACTACCACTAGGGGTATGTCTTCCCTTTTTAAAGTATCCAACTTCAGGCATTTTGTTATAGCATCAGAAAGTAGACTAAGACAGCCATACATTTCACGATTAAATGCAGACTAAGGGTATTACACTCTGGCAAAGGAGGAGGTGTGTCTTTCTCTCTCACATAGATGGCCTACTACACATTGCTGGACTCCATTCATGTGTTGAGGGTCTCCATGGTGGGAATGCAGAGCTGGCAACACAGGACTCCTTGCAGCAGGGTGAGCAAGGAGGGGACAATCCAGAGCCAGGAGGGATCACAGTGGTTCTTACCGGGGCAGGCTGAGTGCACACGAGAAGTTTCCATGCCCTTTGGGGCATCTTGCTGGGCATCCCAAGGCATGTCTTGCTAGAGAGCTGGTGTCTTTGCCAGGGCACAGGTGAGTTGCCCCATGAAGGGGACCCTGACTGATGACCTTTCTCCTGTCTCCAGCCCACCTCAGGAGGCACATTTACTCTGTCATTTGCAGGACTAAATTTTCTGCTCCTTTAGCCTCTGCCCACACCGCAGGGCACGTAGGCACCTGCAAGACTTCTCCAGAAAAAGCCATTTCCTGCATTCTCTTGGACAGGACACATCAAAATAAATGATTTTTCCTTCTGTTCAAATTAGTGGAAATAAAAATTCACAGGATGGTTAGCTTTAGAGGGATCCCTGTGTGATCTGTCAACCAGCAGAGAATGGTTACTTTTTCCTGTCTTTGCAGCCTTGTCTCCTTTTGAATGATTCCCAGAATTCTGTCAGCTCAGGCTGTGCTGGAAATCTCTTCTCTCTTCCCCAAATGCTGAGGCTGCCATGACCTCGGCAGATGCTTTCTCCCTGCTGGGCATCCTTGGCTCTCTGCCCTCCTGGCCTGGCCCTCTTCCTGCTGTTGCCATCCTTCACCCTCACCTTCCTCCTCCCGAGGGCTTCAGTTCTTCACAGCGTCTGCTCCTGATCCGGGCTGCATTCAGGCTCCTGCCACAAGTTCCAGAAATCCTCATGTCCCCACGTGTCTGTCTGAATGCAATGGCTCTTGCTTCCTCCAGGATGCTCTGCAAGGCCTCAGGTGTCCCCCGAGAGCAGAGGAACACACTCCCATCTTGGGCTGTGACCGTGAGTCCTGGGGACGCTGGCCTCGGCATGGAGAAGGAAGAGACCCATTCCACAGCCCAGGCCAGCAGATCCCAAGGAGCATCTGCAAGCCCCCTTTCCACAGTCATCAGCAAAGTTGAGGTCAGAGGAGAAATCACGGCGAGCAGGATTGCATTCTGTAAGTCCCTTTGTGGTGAGTGCCAGTCTCCAGGGGTAGGATAGCAAGGAGCCCTTCCCAGTTCATCCCACCCTGGAGATTTTCTCAGGAAACTTTAGGACCTCTGTTTGGGGAACATACTCTAACCTCATCTTTGTTGGTAAGTGGAGATGCTGGCTCAGAGAGGGAAAGTGTCTTTCTTGAGGTCACACAGTTTGCTGGTGGCAGAACCTGAGCTTGACTCGGAGAGCCTCATTCGAAGCCAGCTGTTTCCTGGGGCTCCTCATGAGCTGCCCATGATGACGTCTTCTGCGTCACAGGCTCTTGGGAGGGAGTTTCCTGTGCTGACCCTGTGTTCGTCCTCCACTCTCCACTCCGTCACACACGGAGCAGACTTCACGCGCGACAGAAAAGCAGATCGCTCTTCGTGCCTCCTGCCCCTCCCCAAGTCCTTCCCACGAGCAGCCCTGCTCTTCTCCGTCTTTGTCCCTTCATCTGTGTTAATCCCAGACCCTTGCTATGGTGCAGCTGGGCAGCTGCCTTCAGTCCCCTCCTGACTACACCCACCTCCCAGCCTTCTTTGTCTCCTTCAAGCCCTAATTTCCCAGTTTAGTCAGAGTGGCACGCCACACACACAACTCCGACCACGTGGCTCCCTCTGCCCTTGGGAGAAGTGCAGCCTGCTCTGTCTGCAATGAAATCACCAGTGACAAGTCACCCCCCACCACGCACCTACTCATACCGTGTATCATCATCCTGCACTGAAATGACTCTCAGCAGACCTGAGCGCCTAAACACGTCCTCAGCCTCCCCTGTGCTCTGGAATCATGCCATCCAGCAGGGAATGGTCCCTGTGTACGGTGGTGTCCATGAGCTGATGGAGCCAAGGGAAGGGTGTGTGGCTTTCCCAAGACAAATCTCACTGGTTGAAGCATTCAGCCCAGTGACGGGGACGGTGAAGGTTGGCAGGTCAGCAGAGGCGTGAGCAGCAGTGATGCTGGGAAGGAGCTCCAAATGCACAAGCCTTTGCCGGCCGCGGCAGGTCTGCAAAGGAGGATGTGTGGAGACGACCTTGCTCCAGTCAGAATCCCACAGAAGACAGAGGCATGACCACAGGGCGCAGGAGAGGGCAGTCAAGCAGGGGAGGAGCCGCAGGGGGCGGTTCTCCATTCCTGCACCCGAAGGGCCAGTGAGGAGGATGGGGATGCCGGCCAGGAGCGGGGTCCCCATCTGGACGATGTTGCAAAATTGCAGCAGCCACCTGGCAGGGAAGGGCCCGGGGAGCAAATACCCTGCCCTTTCCCCTCCTTCTAGCACCTTCTAAAAGCTGCACCCAACAGGAACCAGAGGGCAGGGGATGGATGAATGCACTTCATAAAGATCAGCCTCAAGGGTGGGCACAGGGCACAGCAGGGTGGGTCAGGACAGTGTTTATCACTCCTAGTCAAATTGCCACTTATGATCAGAAAGGCTCCCCCTTTCAGCCCCCTGAGAGCAGAGAGGAGCCTTCAGCCAAGACAGGCCTCCCAGGGTGCACATTGCACCAGCTAGAAGATAGCAGAATACAGTTAAAAGTAAATCAGGCCAGGGAAGACATCCTGAGCAAACCCAAGAAGGGATTGTGCCTGTTCCTTGCAGATGTTCTACTAAGTGACAGAAAGCACTCAAAGAGATAGTCGCATTTCATGTAAAGAGGTCTCCAAAGAGAGGCAAAGTCCCTTGTCCTGGCCTGTAAAGAGAGGATGGACGGGCAGGCAGCAAAGAATTGCGCACATACAATGATTAAGTTGGTGATTTAAATGTTTCAATGTGAAGATTCCTTTCTGCGGCGCTCATTGTTGGAGAGGTCGTGGCAAACAGCTCGCTGTCAGAGGGAATAGAAGTCATTTTGGAAAACAATTTGAATTATACTCAAGGAAATTTATATTCCCATTCCAGTAATGGGCTCCTAGGAATGTATCCTAAGGATAAACCCCAAATAAGAAAAAAGTCATGTGGATTCTAATGAAGATGCTAGTTTCAGCATTATTTACAGGAACAAAAATAGAAACCGATACCCTCCTCCCATGACGTTTTGTGATCAATCACCTCTGCAGGGGTCAGGGGTTGGAGATGAGGTGTCCCACAAAGCTCAGGATTAGGTCATGAGAACCACAACCTGATCAGAGCGGCTTTCCTCCTCCACAGCCTCCCACCAGGCTCTTCTGCCTCACCTGGACGCACAGCAGTGGTGTCAGGTGACCACAGACTGAACCTCTGAAAGGGTAAGCCAAATAAACTTTTCCTCCTCTAAGTTGTTCTTGTCAGGTACTTGGGTCACAGCAACAAAGAGCTGACTAACACAAATTCAGGAGCCTAGGTGGCAACATGGAAAGCAGGTTTTTGGATCTCAAGAAAGAGCACAAAATGCTGTCTATGATGCGGTTATAAAGAGGCAGACGGACCAGTGTGGGAGAACACGGACACCCAACAACAGCCCCTGTACCAGGACGGGGCACCCAGGGTGGATTTCTCCTTTGAATCATCTTGTGGGGTGCTGTGCTGTTGGTCCTGTGACACACCCACCAGGCTGGGTGCAGTGTGTGTTTATGTGAACCCAGATGAAGTCACCCTGTCAATCCTGACAGACAGCAGGTAAAGCCGGGAGGGTATGAAGGAGGGGCCCCACACGTGTGCCCGGAAACCAAGACTGCACCAAGGGCTCTGCCAGAGCCACAACCTTGTACAGAGGCCACCGTGACCTTGCACAGAAAATGCTTCTGCAGGGCCATTTGCCCAGCCACTGCCCGTCCAGCCTCGGATGGATGCCGAATGCTGGCTGTCGATCCTTGTAGCCAAGGGCTATTGTTTGCAAATATGTGGCCCTTCTCATTTGCCTCCAGCTCTGCCCCTGGCCTCTGCCTCCTCGATTTGCACGCGGTTCACTATGGCACATGGTGTTCCCCTTGCAATGCCCACTCCCTAATAAATACCATATCTTTGGAGAATCTCGCTCCCTTACGATTGGTATCTTTGCAGTAGGAATCTGATATCCAACCACCGTTCTGGCCCCTTCCCGCCGTCGGCCCCTCTACTCAGGAATGGCCCACCCTGGTGTGGGAGTTAGCCACCTCCTTCCCCCATGGGCCTCATTCTGGTTACCTAGCAGCACGCCAGACGGCAGCTGCGCCGAGGGGTCCTTCATCCAGTCGTCGTTGGCCAGCTCGATGACCGCGTCCACTGGCTCCACCTCCCTGCCGATCAGCTCCCTCAGTGAACCCTCATCGTTGGCGTCCAGGGCGGCCTTCAGTCTCCTCACCAAGTCTGAATTGACAGGGTAGTCGGGCGGGTCATCCGAGCTGGACATTGTAATGTCCTTTGTGTGGGGATCTGTCTTTCTTCTCTTCCTCTAATCTCAGGCCAAAGTCAGCAGCTGCCTGGGGAGGGAGTGGTGCGGGGGCTATAAATAGCTGAGGTTCTGTGGCTCCCTTACAGCCAGGGCCACTGGCCCCGGGCAGCTGTGAGGTCGTCTTCCCGGGCGCAGGGAAGAGCTGTTCTCGATGGGGGCGGTGGACGTGTTTGTGGTGCTGGGAGAGGAAGAGCCAGCCTTTTCAAAGGAAGCTCTTGGAAGCATTGTTGAATGTCTCCTTTGTCAAAAGTGCGGTTCTATCCGGAAACTTTGGACACTGTCCCCCGGGACGGGCTGGCTCTCTGCTTGTTGAAGAGAACATTTTCTGACTTTCTGTCCCTCACACTCTACTTCACCTAAAAGGACAGTGTGGGCACCGTGACGTGGACGGGCCTTCGACTGAACAGAATGCAAGGGGAACTTGGGTTTCTGAATTCAGAGATGGACTGGCAGGTCTCAAAGAAGGACAAAACCATAGACAGGAACTCTTTCTCAGCTGGGGACAGAAGCACAGACCAGGGGACAAAGGAAGCAACCTAACATTAGCTGCCCCCCCACACCAGGGCTGATAAACTTGGCTCAAAGTGACAGTGCCCACCCGTGCAGGAGCAAAGCCCTGTCCTGATTTACCTGCACTCCTGGGGAGCGGGTGGGCTATTTTCTCAAGGTAGCCACTGCCTCCTGTACTCCCGGGTGTCCCAATGTCAATCTGTGCACAAACATGGCTGTCCCAGCAGTTTCCTTCTAACTCTAAGTGTGTTGTGGCCTCACCTTATTCTGGATGTTTCTGAGAAGATGTTTTTTGGATGAGATTAATTTAAACTCAGTGGACTTGGAATAAAGGGTAATGGGTGAAGGCCCAGCCAGGACAGACGGCCCTCCGGGCAGCGAGGAATCTGCCGGCGCACAGCCTTGGAACCCAGTGCAGCTGTCCCCGGGCGGCCTGCCCTGTGGCTTCAGACCTACCAAGTCTCCGCAGTTGGTGAACCAGTTCCTTAAGCTCTCTCACCCTGCTGCTTCTGCTCCTCGGGAAACCTCTCTTCTCCACTTGGCTCCTGCGTACGACCTTGTGGAACGTGACCAGCCCGTGGGGGTGACTCACAGTGGTTTAAATCCCGTCTCCACCGCTGGCCACTCGGTGTTCCAGCCTCCCTCACGACGAGGTTCTGCCGTGAGAGCAGGTGTGCTCTGCGCTGGGGTGTCTGGGGTGCCTGGGGTGTCTGTCTGGGGTGTCTGGGGAGTCTGGGGTGTCTGTGGTGTCTGTCCGGTAGGTTGTGTGCTCGCTCTGCCTTTGAATCACAGACGGGTCTCAGTTTCTGCCTAAAGAGACTCCGCAAAAATGCAGGCAGAGGTGAGGAACGGCTCCCCATTCTTGGCTGATGGCTACTTCCTGTCTCAGGGCAAAGCCACCAAGGGTTTGCCGCAAGCAGCCAGCCCCAGACCCCAAGTGGGGGAGCCAGGCCTCCTGGGCCCGGCTTGCCACCAGCAAGTCCAGGGTCACTCGGGCAACCGCCTTCAAGCCACATGCACTGAAAACTGGACCCTGTGGGGACGTTGGAACCACTGGAGTCACAGGCAATGGCTGCCACCCAGGAAGCAGACGGGAACTCTTCCTCAGCACAGCCACTGGCCTCGAGTGCCTTCTTTGCCCAAAGAGTTAGGGGTTTTGTTTACTTTATGCTGGGGATGAAATGGAACCCAGGGTCTCACACACGCCAGACACGTTTCCCCAGCCCAAAGAATTAGGGATTTGAAAGAGTTGTGAGCTTGAATTTCCAAGTGCAAATGCCCTATAAATGCTTTACTTCCAGAAGGAATTTAGCACATTGGTGTCAACACAGAGAGGGAGGGTGGTGACCACAGGAAAAATGATCTCCATCGGGAGAGGTGATTTAAAAAATCAAATGAGCATTATTAGAGGCTGATATCAAACTTCAAATCAGAAGGGAGGTAAAGATGAAGCACTTGTTAGGCAGATAACAAGATGACAAAGCCTCAAAATCCGGCTCTCTCTGATCTTAATTACCGCGCTATCCGCTGGGTGTTTAATCAGTGGCACATACGCTATGCTAATTATTCTGGCTAATTTTGTTATAATGTAATTCTTTATCAACCCTGCTATGTATAAATTAGGAATTGAAATGTAACGAACACAAATTATATTTAAGGCAACATGAATTTCTTTATTTCAGTATGAAATCTTCTAATCTCTATTTCTTCCTCTTTATTTATTTATTTTTCGATAGCTCGTGTGACCGCTGTTCCCCACCCAACCCCTCTTAGCCTGGACTGTTCCTGAGGAGAAAGGGACCCAGTAGCAAGACTTCCCCCTTCACTTCTTGGAGATCATATATTTGATTTTCTCCTTCAGCAATTGTCCTTGAAGGGTGCAAAATGTATTTAAGCAATCAATGGCAGACACATCCCGGCTTCTCTGAATCAGATAAAGGTCGTTCATCGTTCTAGTTTAATTTTTAAACAGTCATTATCAGGTGCCATAAGTCATGTATTTTCAGTGACACGCTGTACTGACTCACGTCTTTATGTTTACAAATGTCCGGGGCGGGGGGCTAGCAGCACAGATCCTCGGGGAGAAGCACGCAGGTTCTAGGGGGAGTTTTTTATCTTATGTCCCATGGTTTGTGTCCAGTGAGATCAGGCTCGGTGGCTAAAATGCTGTGAAAGGCTTGTTTAAAAGGAATTCAGAAGACCCTCCAGCCAAACTGAAAAGCACTGGCTTTTAGTTACGGTGGAGTTTGGTGTAGTTGTTCAGAGCCCCAAAGTGTACTTTCTGTGACTGCTGGACCTGCAGCTTCTTCTCTATCTATCCTTTTGGTTTTGAGCAATTTTACCACGAGCTGACCGAGCTTGGAGAGTGAGTGGACATGGGTGGAGTCCAGTTACATGTCAGCCCCATGTTAGGATTGAACAGCAGTGAGAGTCAGTTGCCAAAAGAGGGTCCTGGCCAGGGAGAAATGGAGAGTCTCAAATGTGCCAACCCCGTGGACCTCAGGTAAGGGACAAGTGTGGTCCATGTACAAATGGACTCAAGTGACCGAGGCCCACTTCTGGGCCCACATCTTCATTGAGCCTGCCATGTTCCCACTCCCTGTGGAGAGTCTGGGGCTGCTCCTTCTGCCCATGGTTCCCATGAGAATTCCTGTGGGTACTCTTGGGTCACTCTCCCCTCCCAGTCTAGCTGCCCAACCTTCCCAGGTCCAGGTTAAACTGGGGCTTTGTTCTTGGGCAGAGTTTCTTTCTGTCTTTCTTCTTCCTCTTCTCTCCCCGCTCCCAGGGTCTTGTTTGCAGCTGCTGTGGTTCACTGTGGCTTGTCTCCCGTGGGGCACGATGGAGTTTGGCCCTCATGGCGAGGTCTTAAAAGGGTGGAGACATGTCTAACTACGGTATTTGGAGGTAGGGCTTTTGGGAAATTGTTGGGATTCAAGTTATTAGGTTCAAGCTCCATGATGGACTCCTGGTGGCCTTGTAAGAAGAGGGAGAGAGCCCAGACACACAGACATGTGTGCTCCTGTCCTTTACCATGTGATGCCCTGTGCCAATTTGGGGCTCTGCCAGCAGGAAGGGCATCACCAGGTGACATCTTTCAACCTTTCATCTCCAGAATCATGAGCCCAAATAAACTTTCTTTAATTTACAAAGTAGCATGCCTTGGGTATCATCATAGCAACAAAGTGGACTAACATGGCGACTCTTAATTCCCTGCTGGAGTGACACAGATGCTTGTCCCTGAGGCCAGAGCTTTTCCGTTTGGCTGGAGGGTCTTCTGAATTCCTTTTAAACAAGCCTTTCATAGCATTTTAGGCATGTCATTCACAACCAAGATATCTGTGTTAGTGAATCGACTGTTCTGTGATGGAACGGGCTTGCTCACTGGCCCACTGCACCTCTTTGTAGAGTGGCATTGGAGTGGGGTCTTGATGGCAAGTCTCTGTGCAAGGAGACAACAGATTCCGATTCCATTTCCTCAGTGGTTACAAAGGTTGGGAACAATGCAGGAGTTAGATACCAGATATGCAGAAATTCAACAGCAACTCTTGCAAGATTTTTTTTCTCTTTGGGTCATGATTTGCAAAGGCACAAGGAGAGACCAGTTCAGTTGGAGGTTCATATATTTTCCATTAATACGACCACCCAAACGAAATAACATGGAAGTTTTATGCAGCAAACACTTTGGAGCCCTGCTAGGGCCAGGCAATTCTGGGTGGTTGACGATGTGACGCTATGTGCCATATGCCCATGACAGTTGGTGACACAGGCCAGGTACCCTTCTCAGGTATTGCAAATGTGAATGCAGTTTCCCCTCTTGACACCCTGGGAGGCAGGAGCTATTGCTGCCATCACTTGGCAGGTGAGGAAGCTGGGGAGGGAAACAATTTGCCTGAGGTCATGCTGCAGTCAAGGGGTGGGGCTGACAGTGGGACCATGCCCCATTGCCGTGTGGTCCTGCTTCCTGGCTGTCCATCACCTCCTCTAGGAATCAGCTCCTACTTCTTCCTTCCTCTCTGTTCGTTTGGTCTTTTTAGGAGATGCAGGACCGTGAGAAGAGATGAGGAAGGAATGGTAGGGAAAGAAGAGGTGCAAGGGAGAGGGTAGCCGCCAGGGTTCGGGGCATCGCTGGGCAGCTGTCTCATATGGCAAGTGGACGAAGAGAGAGAGGCAACTGCGCCCTGTGAGCTCTGTGTGGCTGGATGGTGTTTTCCCAACCAAGACACTGCCTTGAGCCTGGACCTCGAAGGCCTCCTGTTGAAAAGTCGCACAGCTAATCATGGTGTCACTGTCACCTCCAAGCACATGACTCAGGGGAAGAGTTTGCCTTCTGAGAGCTGAAGTTAAAGTCGCCCTGTTAGATCAAAGCAGAGCTGGGTGGCTCCCTGACAGGGCAAAGCAGAGGAGTCTGACAACTCGTAACCCTCCCTCCACCTCCCTCAGTCTTCAGA